GGAGGAGGAGGAGGAGGAGGAGGAGGAGGAGGAGGAGGAGGACTGTACGGTCCTTGGTGCTCTCTGAGCGTGGTCATTTTTCTTGTAAACCTTTCCTTACCCAACCAGGAAACATCATCAGTAGTAGAATGGAGTGGGGTTTGTGGAGAGGGTGGCGGGAGGAGGACTGTAGGGCCCTCGGTGCTCTCTGAGCTTGGTGGTTTTCTTGGAGACCTTTCAGGACCCAACTAGGGAACATCATCAGTGATAGAAGGGAGGGGGTTTGCAAAGAGAAAAAGGGGAGGGGGGAGGAAAATGTGGGGGTCCTTGAGGCTCTCTGAACTTGACTGTTTTCTTGCAGATGCTTCATGATGCAACTAGGGAACATCATCAGTGCTAGAAGGGATTGGGGTTTCCTTTCTGATTCCTCTCTGACAAATGGTTTTCCATGTCATCCTACCAACAGACGAGAATATCTGTAGCTCGGGGTTGAATTGTGGGGTCCTTGGTGCTCTCTAAGCTTAGTTGTTTCCTTACAGATGTTTCCTGACCCATCTAGGTAACATCATCAGTGATGGAAGCGAGTGGGATTTGTAGCACGAAGGAGCTACAGTTGTAGCTACTGAACCCCAACAATTCAATCACCGAACTATGAACGTTCTCAAAAATTACCAATCGATCAGAATAGATCTGGAAGGGACCTTGGAGGTCTTCTAGTCCAACCACCTATATTTCAGACCAGTGGCTGTCCAGTCTTTTCTTAACAAACTTCCAGCGATGAAGCACCTACAACTCTTGCATACGGCGAAAGTTAGCGTAACGGGCTTAAAATAAATCCACTGGCACGTCACCGTCAAAATACACTTTGCAGAAGGCTTCTGATTAACCAATGTTATCTCCACAAAGTTCGCTTATCGATGTAGCCATGCCATCCTGGCTGAGGCCAACATTTCGAGAGAAGTCTGGTGGATTTGGGAGCAGTCAACTTGAGAACATATTTATCCAACCCTCTCTGGAAATCGTGCTGCTTCCCCGCCTTTCTTTCTTTAGCCTGCAGCGATGTCTACGAGAAAGATGCCAGATTATTTAATTTAGAGCAATGACCCGTGGAAAGCCGATATGTGGCTGACATTTGGCTCTCCAGCCATTTGGGAGGCAGCCGGCGTGTGAACGAAAACTTCATCTGAAAAGCACGAACTCAAAATCATGTCGCACTCAGGGACACCCAGCAACCCAACTGAACAGCTCGGAAGAGATGGCCAATAGATTTGGAAAGATGACATTTCTTGCCCCTGATCTGCATTTTTTTTTTTTTAACAAGTCCAGTTTAACCGCAAACTGCGACATTTTGGACAGGATCATGTAATGTTGAGGTATAAGATTTAAAAGCTGCCGGCTCCTGTAAGGCTGATGCAATGTAAGGTTGATGGAATTGAGGATGAATCTGTTGTGATTCACCGGCAGCCTGTGCAGATGGCAGTGAACTCTGACCCTTCTTTTTGTTCCTTCTTCCTGGTCCTTCTTTCCTTCTTTCTGGCCCTTCGTTCTTTCCCTCATTCCTTCTTTCCTTGTTTCCTTCCTTCAATCTTCCTTCTATCTTTCTTCCTTCCTTCTTCTCTTCTTCCCTTCTTTCTGTTTGCCTCTTTCTGGTCCTACCTTTCTTCCCTTTTTCCTTCCTTCCATCTTCTTTCTATCCTTCTTCCTTCCTTCCACCCTTCCCTTTGTTTCCATTCCCTTTCTTTCCTTCTTTCTGTTCCCTCTTTCCAGTCTTTCCTTCCTTCCTTCCTTCCTTCCTTCCTTCCTTCCTTCCTTCCATCAATCTTTCTTTCCAATCCTTTGTTTCCATTTTTTTTCCTTCTTTCTGTTCCCTCCTTCCAGTCCTTCCTTCTTTCTCTCTTTCCTTCCTTTCCATCTTTCTTCCTTCTTCTTTCTTCCCTTCTTTCTGTTCCTTCCTTCCCTCCTTCCTTCCATCTTCCTTTCCCTCCCTTTCTCCCTTTTTCATTCCAGATAGTTGCAACAGGCTTAGACCAAACTTCACCCCTTGTCTCCAAAGCCATTTCTCCTGGCTTCCAGTCACGGGTGGGTGAGAAGCACCGATATTTCTCTTTCATTTTTTATTTTTCTTTTGCAAACGATTCGAAAGGTGTCTTAATCTCTGACTTCGCCAACCAAACAGCCTCCTGAGATTTCCCTGGCTGGTTGTTTGGCTGTGATGGAAGAAAAAAGTGCAGCTTGTTTAAAGGAGCGATTTTCGCCCAGAGGAGTTTCGATAAAATGGCATTTCTACCTGCCGTGTCAGAAATCGTGGCGTTTATGGGCTAAATTTATTTCCGGCTCTCCCGTGCCAGATTTGATAGGTGAACAGATTGAAGCTGTAAATTATAGTCTGAGCTCAGTCTATAGTGACTGATGTCTCCTTAATGGCATATATCAAATAAATTTCTCATCCATGTGGCCCATTTCAAAAGGAGGTTCTCTTCCTACAAATCAGACAGTCCCAACTGGAGGGGAAAAAAATACAAGGATAGGGATTTCAGAAGCAACTCACACACACACACACACACACACACACACACACATACACACACACACAAACCCTGGGCTGATCATTTAATTTCTCCTAAACAAGTCCACTGAGCTCAATACTATGAGGAGATTCAGGATAATGTCAGTGTTCCAGCAACCCTCCATTCCACCCAATAACTCCGAGACAGACATCTTCTCAAAAGTTCCTTTTTATTTTGGATTAGTAATTGGCATAACTGGGGAATTCCGAATCTGAAAGTTCCGGGCTTCCTTGCAATAAGTAAAAAACTACAAAATCCATCACCTGCACCCATCACCACATCACATGACCCAATCACCATCTGTCCGAAGTTCAGACTTCCTCTCACTTAGGTGCAAAACAACATGACCTTGAATTAGAAAAAGAACGTTATTATGTCTAACTAGATACACTCCAAGAAATTCCCCCTTCCCACTTTCCCAGGCTCAAAGGTGGCAGCGTGGGAGCATCTGGTCTCAATATGGCTTCCAAAGCTGACATTAAGGTGGGGGCTAGGTGGAGACCAGGGGTGGGCTTCAAATTTTTTAGCAAGGGAATCTCAGCCCTAATGACTGGCTGGGTGGGTGTAGCTGGGTGGTCATGTAACTGGATGGGTGTGGCCAACTTAACATCACTTCTTTGCCCTAATTACCTTAAAAAAAGATACATACCCAAAAGTTGTTTATTATTTCGTGCATTTAATTCTTAAATAAAAGACTGGGTGAAACCAGGCTTAATAGCAATGACTGTGAGAGGGATCTCGGAGTCTTAGTGGAGTTTCTGGTGAGTTACGTGATTCTTATTATTTAGGAATTAATCCCCTTGGAAGCTAGTGACTATGTCATCTGATTTTCTCAGTGGCACCACTGAGTGGATTGTTTATCTAGCTTGCCACACTTTTACCAGGTGTGAAATGCTCTTGGCTAAATGCCCAGAAGTTCAATTAGGCCTATTAAGAGCTTTCCCTTGCTGCTTCTCTTTCTGAGATTATTGGGGGCTGTCCGAGCCCCACAGAGTCTTAGCTAGGGGCTCTCCTGAACCCCTGTGAGCCCCTAGTAGCCACCCTTGGAGATGCTTCGAAAAGCTGCTTTGCCTTCTGCCTAAATCCTTCGGAGCTTCCCAGAATTAACAAGCATTTTGTATTATATGCTGAATACCACATTACATCAATGAGTGAGGAATTCATGTATTTATTCATTCATTCATTCATTTGATTTTTATCCCACTACTTTATAACTCAGAGTGGAGAATATGCATAATACTCTTTCCTGTTTTCCCCCAAACAACAACCCTGTGTGGTGGGTTGAGCTGAGAGAGAGCGACTAGTTCAAAGTCACCCAGCTGGCTTTCATGCCTAAGGCAGAGCTCTTCACTAGACTAGACGTGCCCAGTTCCCGCAACTGTTCATCATATGTTTTAGTCTCCAGTCTTCTAATCATCTTTGTTGCTCTTCTCTGCACTCTTTCTGGGGTCTGTTCAGAGTTTTTGTAGCATAAATTCTGTGTCAGAAAAGTAAACAAAGATGGCTGAAGCTTCATTGATAAACACAAGTAAATTTTACAATACCAGCTGTAGATTTCTTCAATAAGGAGAAAACTCAAACAGAAGCAGACATGTTACAGGCAACTCAACTTCAGCAGACTAGCAAGTGTTAGTTTCTCTTTCACTTTTAGAGCTGAGCACAGAACAGAGATAAACCACACCCAGTTTCTCTCTTTAAGTTTCAGCCCTCAGTTCAGTTCTCATTAGCTGACCTTGTTACTAAGTTCTATTCCAGTTCATGAATATACCCTGACAGGATCTCAACCTTTATTTTTATATCACGGTGACTAAAACTGGATGCAGTATTCCAAGGAATTTCAGAGGCCCAAAGACCCTGAGGATGCCAGAAGCTTCAAATTGTTATTGGTACATTTTGGAGCCGAGAGCAAGTCCTTTAAGAATAGGTCCAAATACCATTTTTGCATAGCTTCCCAGGGAAGATTCATGTTGGCAGTGATCTTTCGAAATCAACGTTGTTTCTCGTGTCTGCAGCATGTAGCCCACCCTGATAGACAGTGATTTCCTATTCCTGACATGATCCCTGATTAATTTTTCTCTTAGAAGGAGCCCACCATAGGCAGGGGGGAAAAAAAGAAGAATTGGGAGAAAGTGTAGATCAGGGTGAATGGAATTTCAAAGGGAGATGAATATTCATTCTTTAAGGTTCTCTGCCAGAAACATGGAGTCTTTCTCTCTCTCTTTTCTCTCTCTCTCCTCTGTCTCTCTCTCTCTCCTTGCTCTCTGTCCTTTCTTTCTCTCTCTCCCTCTCTCTCTTCTCCCTCCTCCCTCTCTTTTCTCTCTCTCC